CTGTTCTGCTTCAAAGCCTCTGCCAGCGCCTTGGGGAGGGACCACATTCCACGGCAGGACAAGTCGCATCTTTTCTTGACTCCGCTACCCTCAAAGCTGAACTTGTCGGAGCCTCGGCCACAGCACTGCCATCAGAGCCGTCTGCGAGCTTGATATGGATGTCTTCCAGGGTCTTCAGCGAAGCTAAGACCTGTCAAAAAGGAGCTTGGGGATGGAAGGAAATCCGTTGACTTTCGGGATCTGCCAGGAGGATGCAACTTGGATTTAGGAGTACTGCTCTGCCCGGCTACCGAAGACTTTGGCTTTGACCTGAAGCTCGACGCAGCAGACCGCGGCCTCGCCCAGGGCCTTCGCCTGCTCTTTGTCGATGAAGATGTTGATCAGTCTCAAGGCTCTCAGCCGCTTGTAAAACTTCAACGACTCGGCCAAATGCCGGACCTCCTCAGCAGGAAGGTTCTCAAGCACCGCCTCCTCACAAGCTGAAACCTTGTCGTGGAAAATCTTCGCTTGGAGCTGGCAGACCGCTTCCTTATCGGACCTGTGGGTAAACCGGGCATCTGCCATCAGCTCCTCGAAGGCAGCGGGAGACATCGGGACTTTGCCCTTCAGTTCCAATGCCAAGTGTCGAAACCTGGATTTCTTTTTGTTACGCAAGGTGATGGGCATGCAGCAGCCACTCCAAGACCAAGGTTCATCTCTTCCTAACTGGTCACCTGCGTCGATCCTCTGGTGCTGTGCAGTCCTGTTCCTGGCGCAGGACCACTGCACTTCACCCCTGCACCAACCGCGATCTCCATAAGGAACGCGGTTTTCCACCAATGCCTTGAGCGGGAGCTGTTGGACTGCTCCACTTGCTTGATGAAACACCGGCACCTTGAACGAAGAGTCCTGAAGCGCTGCTTGCCAGACGGCGTCCGGCGTGAGGCTCTCGATGCGAAAAGTGAAGCTGTACTGGTGCGCATAGAGCACCTGCATGTTCTGCATCGCCAGCCGGAAGCTTCGCTCCTCTTCTTCGCGCTGGCGCTCGAACTGAAACAAGGAAGCGTAGTCATAGAAGACCCAGATGTCATCATGGTAGGCAGCATCATACAGAGAAACACAATTCACCAGCTGCCGCAGTTGGAATCTGCATGGATCTGGGTGTTCCCTAGTCTCCCAGGCGTGCGACACGGAGCAAATCAGGGCGTCTACGCGCCCCGCCGCCCACTCACTGAGCTCAACGTGGGTTACTAAGGCAGAGGCCTCCTCGCCTCTGACTTCGCCTCGGAAGCTGCAATCAAGTTTTGGGTGCCTCTGGGCTCGAGGCTTCGAGGTGCTGCTGTCTTCCGGGTATTATCGGGACATGTCAACTCCATGTCCATACACCTCGACACACCTGAGCTGTACCTGAGGTGGCCACACCTGGCTATGCAGAGAACGGAGAGAGCCAACTAATTCAATTTCGTCCAGGTGCAGACTGCATGCTCCGCTTCTTGCCGTCTCGGCAGGGGCGTCCTGGAGTGTCGCAGCTTGTAGAGGTACCTTGGAGCCCAGAACTTCCAGTGGTGCCATCCAAAGGTCGTCACATGCCGCAAGGGGGATGGAGCACTCCGCGCGCACGAGGCCGATGTTGGCGTCCTGCAAGAACTTAGCCAAGTCCTCCTTCACCCGGAGGTCGTACGTGGCCTGTCACTAATGGCGGTAACTGCCTCCCCCCACTGCACCGTCAGGCCCACCATCGGTGCACGCTGTGGGCGTTTCAGTTGAGGAATTGAGGCCTCGGGGCTTTAGGTCTCAGCGAAAGGTTTAGGGTTTGAGTCCTAGGATGTCGATTTCAGGTGTCGCTTTTATCTAGACCAAACAGAGTACCGTTAACGGGGAAGTGCCTCCAAAATCATAGCCCTTCCTTCAAACATGTCTTGGTTAGACCCTAGGCCGAAAAGCAGTGTCACGCGCCTCTGGCGGCGCCTCCGGAGTGTCTTCCAAAAGCGCCTCCAAAATCATAGCCCTTTCTTCAAACATGTCTTGGTTAGACCCTAGGCCGAAAAGCAGTGTCACGCGCCTCTGGCGGCGCCTCCGGAGTGTCTTCCAAAAGCGCCTCCAAAAGCATAGCCCTTTCTTCAAACATGTCTTGGTTAGACCCTAAGCCGGAAAGCAGTGTCAGGCGCCTCTGCCGGCGCCACCGGGGTGTCTTCCACACCTGCAGGGGTGAAATATGTGGACATGCAAAGAGAGCTTCAGCACCTTCCCAGTCATTCACCAGAAAGCCGCTAGACCAAAGAGACTAGAATAATTATAGTAGTAGAAAGTACAGTGTCTAAGGGGCTATAATAGGAAAGCTGATGTTGAGAAATACCACTTTGCACTACCCCGCCTCTCTTGCGTAGAAGCCATTCCAGCGGCCCACAACCTCGCGGGAAGCCACGAGTCAACTCATATGGGGGAGCAAAAATTTGGCAACTTGGTACTAGAAAATTAAGGGTCCTTGAAAAGGACTATATGGGGCCTACAGGGTAGATATGAAGACTTCTATGGGATAGTTGACATGTAGTCCAGGGCTCGGCAGTTTCTCAAGACTAGGGTCCCCATGTTGTCGAACCGAGGACAGGGAGTTGCCCCTCCCTGCGTCACCCTCCACTCCACAAGAAACCGCAGAATACACTCCGAACTTCAAAAAAATGCCGAGGTCTGAGCTTTGCGGCAAACAGCAGGTGTCCTCTCCACACTTGGGGCTGGTATTCGGGTGTTGGGATGGTCTATAGGCTCCAAACTTTCTGAGGTTTTCGGCTTCGAGCCCGGATGGTCCTGTCTGTTTACGTACAAGTCTGCATGCCATCTAAGGCTCCCAAAAAGTCAGTTCAGCATTTTGAGATCAAAATTCGTCATCCGAAAGAGGACCTGAAACACCCACTTTGCCCACAGTGCCAGGCGCCCGCTTTCTAAAGTCCAAGCCCCACCCTGGCCCTAACAATCTGAACCATTAAGGTTTAAGTACATGTCCTCCATACCTCCCCCTCCACAATAACTACGGTATCGTTCCTGTCTTTATGATTTCACAAACGCTGAAAGGACGTCTGGAATCGTTGGCCAGAATCCTGTCCTGACAGTGCCCAAAGGAGCTTCCCATGGCCAAGCGCGACGAAGGCTGCGGTAAGGCAAGGCAGGGCTATGCGATCTGGACAAGAATCTGTGAGCTCTGCCATGCGTCGGCTAAGACTGCAGTCTGAGAGGTGTAGACCCAGGGCACCAGATCTAAAGCAGCGGCGACCAAGGCAACTGAATCTTCAGGCTTTAGGGCTTTAGGGGTATGGGGTTAGGTGTTTAGGTACCAGGATTTTAGGGTTGACACTGCAGCTAGACATGCTAACGCAACATGCGAAAGAAGCCACGAGAACCTGGCGCCTCAACAAAGTACTCATCAAGAAATCTGCGCTAGACATTTGCCCGACCCAAAACCCTAAACCCTAAACTGTGCCCACACAGCCGCAACAACACCGAAGCAAACCCACATCATCATCATCATCATCATCATCTTCTACTACTACTACTACTACTGCTGCTGCTACTACTACTACTACTACTACTACCACGACGACGACGACGACTACTACTACTACTTCTGCTACGACTACGACTACGACTACGACTACGACTGCCACTGCCAC